TGTGCGGAGACCTGACAAGCATTATGAGCTGGAATGGTGACATAACTTGATTGCTTTCTTTGTAAAGCTCAAAGCCAAACAGGGCCAGTAGGAAATTAACAAAAAAATTACATTTTTGAAAACACTAATGAAAATTTTTGGCAGTTTTTCTAATATTTGCATTTTTAAAAGCAATTGTGGAGTACACCGAGATGCTCACACATGTAATAGCTCCTGGTTCCTGATCTAAACCCAGCAGCTATAGTGTTACCTTTTAAAACAGAACTGTGTACTCAGGGGCAATGTAGGCGAGTGTTTACAGTAAGGGACTAAATGTCAGTAAGATCAGATTTCTATTCCCAACCATTTATTTGCAGAATCTGAAGTACTTCCATACCTCCTTGGGTAAGCCATATTTATTATATATAATATTCTAATTTAAAATGAATTATTATGATTGGCTGGGCGAAGCGAGGCCTTACACACCTCAACAGCATTTCTGTATTTGTCAATTAGAGCAGGCTGATTGACTGAGTGCATTCCATTTTGTATGATCTTGGCTCACACACCAGCTTTGTTCCTGTACAGCTTTAGTTCTGGTAGATGCTATTAGATTTTCATATTAAGTTCTGCTTCACACTTGTGTTTGTCATTAGAAATAGTACTCTCATCCAGAAGTTTCTGATGTTTAGGTTCCTGAACAAACAACTGGCACATACCTCTAAGTCATTGAAAAATAAGTGCGTGAGCCACTTCGAAAATCATCTCCTCCATTGTCAGACCTGAGCCAATCACTAGAGTTGGGTCCTGGAAAACAGGACAGAGAAAGAAAATTTTGCCCTGGTTCTGTACTAAGTAGAAATAAACCTCTTGCCAAAGAAGTTTCACAGGATTCCCACTGGATCCTAAGGCTAGAATGTGCTAGCATGGGTTTTGGGGTTTTTTTTCTACCATTCAATTGTATGGATTGTAATATCCCTAAAATATTGTGGGCACTTGAAGAAAAGCCAGATTCTAGTAAAGTATCAAAGCAAAACAAATCAAACTCCAGTGCTGTGCAGTTTGGACAGATACACTTCAGCAGCACAACAGAAAAATTATTTGTGATTGTTTAGTATGTTTCAGAGAGGCTCTATTTACCTTCACTCTATATTGGAAACACACTGATTCATACTAATGACAGGGACATGTTTTGTTAGTTACAATAAAGTGACCACACAATAAAAAAAGCAAGCTTAATGTGCTTTATATTTTGAAAATTATATAGCAGCTGTAATACTGACGTATTTTTAAAATGTAAAACAAAACACAGTTATTTTTAGTTTACATTTAAGCACTTAAAATATTCGACAAATGAAACCTCCAAATGATGAAAGTCATTATATGATCTCAGTGCAAAGGGGCTGAAATTACAGAGTGCATGATCCTTAACTTCTGCCAACATCTGCACTTCAAAAATACATCAATTCATAGCCTTGTACTTAATTAAAATGAATGTGTTTGCAGTCTTTACCTCCTAGCTCTGTAGGTACTTGATCCAGTATTCTCTTCTTTGAAGTGGTTACCCCTTTGTTCAAATAAAAGGGGAGGTCACTTACCTGTAACTGGAGGTTCTTCAAGATGCGAGGTCCCTATTGTGTATTCCCCTGAGGGTTACGTGCATGTGCCCAGAGCCAGAGCTTTTCAAAATAGTGTTCGTCAGTCTGTGCTCGTGCCTTTGCATTGCCTCGTGGTTTTGCCTGAGGCGACAAAGGGGTAGGTGGACCAACTGCATCTCAAGTTCCTTCTCTACCGCAGAGGGGAAAGAGGGTGGGATTGGAATACAGACAGGAACCATGCATCTCAAAGAACATCCACTTACAGTACGTAACCTCCACTACTATTACTTCTTCTTGTGACGGTCGTTACTGCATTCCACTGAGGGTGATGAACAAGCAGTTCCTATATGGGAGGAGGGTGCGAGGAAGATGACAGAGAACCCGGGGAACGGAGGACTACTGCATTGAATGAGGTGTCCATTGCAGAATCGTGCAGTAAAGCATAATGAGAAGAAAAGGTGTGTTCCAAACTCCATGTGGCCGCCTTACGTATGTCTGCAAGGGGCACATTGTGGAGTATGGAGGTAGTAGATGCTTGCACACTATGGAATGGGCCCATATCCCAGCTGGTGGGGACCGTTCCGATAACTGATAGCAGAGCGTAACACATCCTGAGACCCACTTTGAGATTCTCTGGGTGGAGATGGTCTGGCCTTTAATTGTCTCCACTATGGCAACTAATAGTCTAGGAGACTTCCAGAAGGGCTTCGTTCTCTGTAGGTAAGAGGCCAGGGTCCTATGGACATTGAGGGGAGTGAAGCTGCCATTCCTCATTTGAAGTGTGTGGTTTGGGAAGGAAGGTTGGCAAATGGTATGGGTTGACTGGAAGTGGACGCAGGAAACCACTTTTGGTAGAAATTTAGGATGCAAGCGCAGCAAAGACTATATCCTTATGAAAAGTGGTGAAAGAGGGGTTACCATCATGGCTCCCAGTTTGCCAACTCTTCTTGCAGAGGTGATCGCCACCAGGCAAGTGACCTTCATAGAAAGAAGAGAAAGTGGCGGACCATAGGTAGCATACGAATCCTCAGACTCAGAGGAACGGAGGATGGGAGGGGGATGGAATGGGGAATGTTGTAGGAACATGACCAGAAGGAGGCAGATCTGATGTAGGAGAGGGGGTCCTCTTAGCAGGCGAATGGACCCAGGGGTGAAAGTAAGTTAGAGGACTTACCGGTACACAGAGTCCGGAGCAGGGGGCGTGGCCTCAACTGGAAGAGGTGTGGACTTAAATCCCGGGGCCCTTTAAAACTTGATTTAAAGGGCCAGGGCTCCCAGCTGCAGTAGTGGCGGCTGGGAGCCCGCGGCCCTTTAAATCACCCCGAGTTACCAGCTGCAGAGGCAGCTGGGAGCCCCGGGCTCAGGGGTGATTTAAAGGGCCCAGAGCTCCAGCTGCTACCGCAGCGGAGCCCTGGGCCCTTTAAATCACTGAGGAGCCCTAGGGGGCTCCCGGCTGCCACCGCTACCCTAGGGCTCTGGGCTCTGGCAGAGCTTTAAGGGCCTGGGGCTCCGCTGTGGTAGCAGCTGCCGGAGCCGAGGCCTTTAAATCCCCGCCTGAGCCCTGCTGCCGAGCCCCGGGGTAGGGGTGGGGGGGCTCTGGCAGGGATTTAAAGGGCCCCAGGGCTCCACGCCGCTACCGCCCTGGCCCTTTAAATCCCTCTGAGCCCCACCACCACTACCCCAGGGCTTCGGCAGCAGGGCTCCAGCGGGGATTTAAAGGGCCAGGGCAGTAGCGGTGGCTGGAGCTCGGGGCTCTTAAATCCTGCCAGAGCCCCCCACCCCCTACCCCAGGGCTCGGGCAGCAGGGCTCAGGCGGGGGATTTAAAGGACTTTGGGTCTCCAGCCGGGCGCTACCGCCCGGCCCCTTTAAATCCCCTCTGGAGCCCCCCGGCGCTACCCCAGGGCTCCCTGGCAGGGATTTAAAGGGCCCCGGAGAGGTATCGGTGGCTGGAGCTCCAGGGCCTCTAAATCCCCACCTGAGCCCTGCTGCCCGAGCCCCGGGGTAGCGGCGGCGGGGCTCTGGTGGGGATTTAAAAGGCCGGGGGGTAGGGGAAGAGCGGCTCGAGCCCGGGGCCCTTTAAATCCCCGCCACAGCCCTACCGCTGCTACCCCAGGGCTTTAAATTGCCCTCTCGGAAAGTCGGTCCTGGTACGGGCGCACTGGCTCTTACCGGTACACAGTACCGGGGCGTACCGGCTTACTTTCACCGCTGAATGGACCAGAACATGCAGAGACCTTATCCATTCTAGGGCACACAGTTTGCGAGGCCCAAGAGCACATCCATTTCTCCCTGGCTTCAACGGCACCTGGTCCATGGACGGAAGCAGGGCCATAAGGTGAAAGGGGGGTTACCATCATGGCTCCTAGTTTGCCAGCTCTTCTTGCAGAGGTGATTGCCACCAGGCAAGTGACCTTCATAGAAAGAAGAGAAAGTGGCGAGACCATAGGTAACTACGAATCCTCAGACTCAGAGGAACTTGGGGGTGGTTGGGGGGGGAGGTGGTGGTGGTGGATGGAATGGGGAATGTTGTAGGAACATGACCAGAAGGAGGCAGATCTGATGTAGTAGAGGGGGTCCTCTTAGCAGGCGAATGGACCCAGGGGTGAAAGTAAGTTAGAGGACTTACCGGTACACAGAGTCCTGAGCAGGGCGTGGCCTCAACTGGAAGAGGTGTGGACTTAAATCCCGGGCCCTTTAAAACTTGATTTAAAGGGCCAGGGCTCCAGCTGCAGTAGTGGCGGCTGGGAGCCCGCGGCCCTTTAAATCACCCCGAGTTACCAGCTGCAGAGGCAGCTGGGAGCCCCGAGGCTCAGGGTGATTTAAAGGGCCCAGAGCTCCAGCTGCTACCGCAGCGGAGCCCTGGGCCCTTTAAATCACTGAGAGCCCTAGGGGCTCCCGGCTCCCACCGCTACCCTAGGGCTCTGGGCTCTGGCAGAGCTTTAAAGGGCCTGGGGCTCCGCTGTGGTAGCAGCTGCCGGAGCCCCGAGGCCTTTAAATCCCCGCCTGAGCCCTGCTGCCCGAGCCCGGGGTAGGGGTGGGGGGGCTCTGGCAGGGATTTAAAAGGGCCCCAGGGCTCCAGCCGCGCTACCGCCCTGGCCCTTTAAATCCCCTCTGAGCGGCCACCACCACTACCCCAGGGCTTCGGCAGCAGGGCTCCAGCGGGGATTTAAGGGCCAGGGCAGTAGCGGTGGCTGGAGCTCCGGGCTCTTAAATCCCTGCCAGAGCCCCCACCCCCTACCCCAGGGCTCGGGCAGCAGGGCTCAGGCGGGGGGATTTAAAGGGACTTTGGGTCTCCAGCCGGCGCTACCGCCCGGCCCTTTAAATCCCCCTCTGGAGCCCCCCGCCGTTACCCCAGGGCTCTGGCAGGGATTTAAAGGGCCCCGGAGAGAGTATCGGTGGCTGGAGCTCCAGGGCCCTTTAAATCCCCACCTGAGCCCTGCTGCTCGAGCCCCCGGGGTAGCGGCGGCGGGAGCTCTGGTGGGGATTTAAAGGGCCCCGGGGTGGGGGTAGCAGCGGCTCGAGCCCGGGGCCTTTAAATCCCGCCACAGCCCTACCGCTGCTACCCCAGGGCTTTAAATTGCCCTCTCGGAAAGTCGGTCCTGGTACGGCGCACTGGCTCTTACCGGTACACAGTACCGGGCGTACCCGGCTTACTTTCACCGCTGAATGGACCAGAACATGCAGAGACCTTATCCATTCTAGGGCACACAGTTTGCGAGGCCCAAGAGCACATCCATTTCTCCCTGGCTTCAACGGCACCTGGTCCATGGACGGAAGCAGGGCCATAAGGTGAAAGGGGGGTTACCATCATGGCTCTAGTTTGCCAGCTCTTCTTGCAGAGGTGATTGCCACCAGGCAAGTGACCTTCATAGAAAGAAGAGAAAGTGGCGGACCATAGGTAGCATACGAATCCTCAGACTCAGAGGAACATGGGGGTGGTTGGGGGGGAGGTGGTGGTGGTGGATGGAATGGGGAATGTTGTAGGAACATGACCAGAAGGAGGCAGATCTGATGTAGGAGAGGGGTCCTCTTAGCAGGCGAATGGACCAGAACATGCGGAAACCTTATCCATTCTAGGGCACACAGTTTGTGGAAGCCCAAGAGCACATCCAATTCTCCCTGGCTTCAACGGCACCTGGTCCACGGATGGAAGCAGGGCCGTAAGGGCCTGCCTCAGTATGGACAATTCACGCTGTACCAGCAAAGCCATTGCAGGAGGAAATGCCTGGTTCAGGAACCGGGACTGGTGGATCTGGCGACGATGCAACTTCTTGTCACTCTTGTGGGCTCCACCATGGCTGGAACTCATGGCAGTGTAGTCTTTTTTCTTGGATCTGGAGGAAGACTTACTGCCATGCTTACGTGCATGCTTTCGTGTTTCATGGCCAGGCCCCAGCATGGGGTTCATAGTGCTGGTACAGGTGGAACCGGACTGGGACTCTGCAGCAGGAGGTGCACTCCTGGATTGCTCAGGCCGATGTACGAGGGGCAAGGAGGGTCCCCCAGCCAGGATCCGACTGCGGTCCCATGGCAACCTCCATGAGGTGCTTCTTAGGGGCACAGAGAAGTCTGGCCTTCCTGGGTGCGGGCAGGGGAAGGAGGAGGCATGCACATAACCCTCAGTGGAATAACAACAGGACCATCACTCCGAGAAGAAGCAGTATGCATTTTCTACTTCTTTCACCTACAATTAATGTATACTTATTGATAACATTTATGATCTTACCTCTGAGAAAGAGGTAAGACAATATTACCTTTCCATATTTCTGGGCGTACGACCCTGTGAGAAGGGAATGGAAAATGATGATGGTCTCATCCAAGTCCCATAGAAAGACTCGCTGGGAAAGGAATTACAAAAGGAGGTTAATCTTGGAATATTCCAAGTGCCATGCTGCAGCAAACAGCAAAATCATAGAAATGTAGGGCTGGAAAGGACCTCGAGAAGTCATCAAGTCCAACCCCCTGCACTGAGGCAGGACCAAGTAAACCAAGACCATCCCTGACAGGTGTTTGTCTGATTTGTTCTTAAAAACCTCCAATGACAGGGATTCCACAACCTCCCTTGGAAGCCTGTTCCAGAGCTTAACTACCCCTTATAGTTAAAAAGTTTTCCCTAATATCTAACCTAAATCCCCCCTTGCTGCAGATTAAGCCCATTACTTCTTGTTCTACCTCCACTGGACATAGAGAATAATTGGTCCTCATCCTTATTACACCAGCTCTTAACATATTTGAAGACTTATCAGTTCTCCCTCAGTCTTCTTCTCTCAAGACTAAACATGTCCAGATTTTCCTCACGGTCAGCTTTTTCATCATTTTTATTGCTCTCCTCTTGGACTCTCTTCAATTTATCCACATCTTCCTTAAAGTGTGGCACCCAGAACTGGACACAGCACTCCAGCTGAGGCCTCACCTGTACCAAGTAGAGCGGGACAATTACTTCCTGTGTCCGATGATATGTCTACACGTAAAAAGCCACATGGCGCAGCTGAGCTGCTGTAGCGCTTCTGTGTGGACACACTACAGCGAAGTAGTTAATCTACCTCCCTGAGAGGCAGTAGCAAGGTTGATGAAAGAATTCTTCTGTTGACCTAGCAGTGTTTACGCCAGGGATTAGGTTGACATAGCTTCATCTCTCAGGGGTGTGGATTTTTCACACCCCTGAAAGTAGCAGCTATGCAGAGGTATGTTTGTAGCGTAGACCAGCCCTGACATATAACACTTTTTTTTTAATAGTCCCTAGCATAATACCAACTGCCCCCACATTGTTGACTCATATTCAATTTATGATCCACTAAAACTCCTAGATCCTTTTTAGCAGTTATTCCCCATTTTGAGCTGTGCATTTGATTTTTGCTTTCTTACTTTGCACTTAATTTCACCTTGTTGATTTCAGACCAGTTCTGAAATATTGTGATTGAATTCTAACCCTGTCCTTTAAAGTGCTTGGAACCCCTCCCAACTTGGCATTGTCAGCAAATTTTATACGCATACTCTCCATTATCCAAGTCATTAATGAAATATTGAACAGTACCACACCCAGGACTGATCCCTCGGGACCTCACTTGAAACACCCTACCCGTCTTACAGTGAACCACTGATACATACTCTGACTAGTTTCAGAGTAACAGCCGTGTTAGTCTGTATTCGCAAAAAGAAAAGGAGTACTTGTGGCACCTTAGAGACTAACCAATTTATTTGAGCATGAGCTTTCGTGAGCTACAGCTCACTTCATCGGATGCATACAGTGGAAACTGCAGCAGACTTTATATATACACAGAGAATATGAAACAATACCTCCTCCCAGCCCACTGTCCTGCTGGTAATAGCTTATCTAAAAGTGATCATCAGGTTGGGCCATTTCCAGCACAAATCCAGGTTTTCTCACCCTCCACCCCCCACACAAATTCACTCTCCTGCTGGTGATAGCCTATCCCCTTGTTTTTTCCTACCCACCCCCCCCAGATGTTCTGGTTTAACTTGGATTTAAACTTGGAGAGTGGTCAGTTTGGATGAGCTATTACCAGCAGGAGAGTGAGTTTGTGTGTGTGGTTTTGGGAGGGGGGTGAGGGGGTGAGAGAACCTGGATTTGTGCAGGAAATGGCCCAACTTGATTATCATGCACATTGTGTAAAGAGTTGTCACTTTGGATGGGCTAGCACCAGCAGGAGAGTGAATTTGTGTGGGGGGTGGAGGGTGAGAAAACCTGGATTTGTGCTGGAAATGGCCCAACCTGATGATCACTTTAGATAAGCTATCACCAGCAGGACAGTGGGGTGGGAGGAGGTATTGTTTCATATTCTCTGTGTGTATATAAAGTCTGCTGCAGTTTCCACGGTATGCATCCGATGAAGTGAGCTGTAGCTCACGAAAGCTCATGCTCAAATAAATTGGTTAGTCTCTAAGGTGCCACAAGTACTCCTTTTCTTTATACTCTGACTAGTCTTTCAATCATTTGGGCACCCACCTTATAGGAATTTCATCGTGACTACATTTTCTGAGTTTGCTTATGAGAATGTCATGTGGGACTGTGTCAAAGCTTTACTAAAAATCAAGATATATCTATTGCTTCCTCCTTAATCACGAGACCAGTAACCCTAACAAAGAGAGAAATTAGGCTGGACTGGCATAATTGTTCTTGAAAAATCCATGCTGGCCATTCCTCATAACCTTATTATCCTCTAGGTGCTTACAAAAGGATTGCTTAATAATTTGTTCCAATATTCCAATGTGTACCAAAGTTAGTCTGACTGGTCTATAATTCACCACATCCTCTTTGCTTCCTTTTTAAAGTTAGGTACTAAGGTTTGCCCTTCTCAGTCCTCTGGGACCTCACCTGTCCTCCAGGAGTTCTCAAAGATAATTGAAACAGTTCCAAGATTCACAAAAAGAAAAGGAGTACTTGTGGCACCTTACAGACTAACCAATTTATTCCAAGATTGCTTCAGCTAGTTCCTTAGGTACCTTAGGATGAAGTTCATCAGGCCATGCCTGCTGTGTCACCCACTTTGTGGTTAGGTGGAGTGTCCCCTTTAGGAATGGCCCACTGCTCTTTTATCAAGCTCCATCAACAGTGTGTCTTAGTTTTGTGCCTCTGGTTAGAGAGACGCATTTCTGGATTTCCAGTGTTCCTCCCGTTTTTTACCCAATTATCCCAGCCCCTTTCCCCCGCCAGAAAGGGGAAGCAGACACGCTGGCCTGACTGCTCTTCCAAAGTGACTATTCAGGAAACCAGACTGTTCACTTACTTCCAGTTCACTGTCCTGAGGGGAGGAGGTATCTGCTTTCCTCTTGCCCCTGTTTTTCCCAGCCATGTTTTTCCTAGTCTGCTCATCTAACTCTTTACTGGCTGTTGCTCT